ATAGAGAGAGAGAGAGAGAGAGAGAGAGGGAGGGAGAGAGGGAGAGAGAGGGAGAGAGAGGGAGAGAGGGATATAGATACACGATACACCATCAAAAAGACGTCGACAGGCTACTTGATAGACTATAAGCGCGGGAACTACTTATTGTGTTTGCAACAACGAAAACCTTGACCACCAAACCGCAACCGTCGGCACTACAACCTTCATTACCTGCTTTTTTTGACGTAATATAATATTTTGTCACAGCCTACAGACAACTCAGGATTAATAGTCACTTTTACTAGTTGGTCAAAATTTCATGCCCCCCCCTGAAGTATGACTTGAGCATAACTCACGATCTTAGAAATCACTCTTGTGCTTAAAAGACGAAGTGCCTCAAGCTCCCAAGTTTAGCAAAGAAAGATTGTTTTTAACTTGTGAAGAATCTTTGGTTACAGCCGAGTACTAAATATAGTAACTAGGTCAGGTGTTGTCAGTTATGTTAGGCTACAGTGTACTACAATGGGGAAGGAAGTCTGCATAAGGGCTGACCTGGCTGATTTCTTGCCACTTTCTCCGGATACTTTGAAGTGGTAATATTCGAAGCTGGCCAGCTTGCCAGGAAAAGCAAAACGTTTGACAGTCTGTTCGCATTCGAAAAGGAAGACAGTGTATCCCCCAAGAGAGATGAACTGATACACTTTTTCCTCAAACTTGATCAAACAGGTTAGTCGAGATGGTAACTTTTAAATAGTAATAAGGCATCACAATAATAATAACTTTATTGTTTTCCTTCAAGTTAAGGCTCGTTACAAAACGAATAGAATAAATAGTGCACGAATATACCTTGCGCTGCTAGAACTGTTTCTTTGCTGCCAGTCTGTTGTTTTTGTATATTTACCTGTCTTGTTCTTTCCCGTTACACTTGTTGTGTCGATGTTTCTCTCTCTTTTCCACGAATTATGTGTATTTTACGGAATGCTGCTTCGCTCGTGTTAGTAGCGGGCCCTTCGTAGACAGGGGAAACAGAATTATTTTTACTGTTAGCCTATCACGCACAATACGAGGCTGCAAAGGACCTATGTTCCTCGGCTCGTAAGGCTACGAGATTCGAGTTTTGACTTCAAAACCACGCACGTTAGCTATACTGAGTACTCGAGTAGATAGAATTGATAGCGTGTGTGTGCTCGCCTGTCTGTTTTATAAAACAGAGTACACTCAAATCTCACTGTACCGCCCCCCACCCACCCCCGTTACCCGTTAAGTGCCAGCTCTACTTACCACCAGGTTTTGCCAATGTACTAAAAGGAGCCTCTATTCTCTATGAGCATATTATTTCATATCGCCTTCACACCGCCTTCCGCAAACTGTCTGCCCGAGGTACATACAGCACATGGCAGACTATACCCACTACCCACTGGTTGACTACTTGATACTTGATGATCTTTCTCCCGCGGTAAAGACACACACGAACACACATACACACACACACACACACACACACACACAGATATATATATA